TATTTATTTATTTATTTATAATTATAATTTTATAATTATATATATATATATATATATATTTATTTATATGTGGGAAGGAAACCAGCGCGGCAGGCAAAAGCAGCTGCCGGTCCTCGGAGGGAGCAAACCTGCCAATTTCTGGAGTTCAGGTTTGTTTGGTTCGTACTTGGCTGGTTCTCTACATTAGGGTCCCTTTTTAGGTTCCAAATATATAGGGACCCTAATTTAGAGAACTACCCCTATAGTAGCATCGAGCATGAGAGTAGACCGTGGTATTGAGAGGATGGAACTCGACGTGACACAGGGCGAAGCCTCTGCCATCGCGATGGTCCCGGGTAGAGAGCCGCTTCCAGCCAGGCTACCAGTATGGCCAGCGTGGCAGCGTCATGGTTGCGGGGAGCTGGATCCCTGGCAGCACATCTACGGCAGCCAACCCGGAACACCGCCTGCACATCCCACGACCAACCCGCGGATCCTGCCTCTTTCTGTGACCGCGCCGTCTTGTCTGCTGCTTTGGCGGAGGCACGTGCGGGCGGTCCAGGTTGGGTTGAGCCTCTACACTGGTCCACTGGCGCGTCAAAAATCACTACGCTACAGGAAATTCCTTTGGAAAGGCCAGCGCTGCATCACCCCGAGGACTAGAAAGAACTGATCTGCTTGCTAGGCCGAGATTCCACAAGAGCAGCTAATTGCCAAAGGGGTGCATCACGTCCCAAATCGCCCTCAGCTTTTGACTCTTCTGGATTGGAGGGCTAAGCTAATCCGCAGTCAGCCTCGCTGCCAAGCTTCCGGAAGGGTGAAGAGCAGCGGCTTCGTTAGATCGGTCCAGCCCCAGTCACGCGCCACATTGCGTACTTCTGGTCCCAGCACATCGGAACAAATCTGAATCCCGGCTACATTGTGGAAGTTCGAGGTTGCTGGAGGAATGCCATACTGGATGAGCAATGCTGCATCCGGCGCCGCCGCGTAAGCAAACGTGAGCTCTTCGCCTTTGGCAATGCCACGATCTGCCACCATGACCACACAGCCATGTCTCTCTTGATAGGAGCACGTGAAGGGAATCTTGCCCCCTTCAGAGCTTTGGTGGTTGAAGAGGTCGATGAATGGAAGCAGGCCCAGAGATGTCACACCTTTTGTTGGCCCTTTGAGGGCAAAGTTTCGTGTGATGACTGCAGCCAAAGCCCAGCACCGCAGCTCAAGACTGCAGTCAGGAATCTTGGCCAAAGCCTCCAGGCATTCTGTGTTCAAAGACCTGGCTTCCATATAAAGACGTTTCACCATCGGGCTGGCCTTCAACAGCTCCGAAGGCCACCTGCGCTTCAGGGGATGCAGTGGTGGAGGAAGAACCGAGGGGGGCGGCAGAGCTGCGCAGTAGGCCTTGAATGGAGAATTATGACCTGCCGGCTCTCTCTCGCTCTCGTTCTCTCTCTCTCACTATCCTTTTGCGGCTTTTTAGCAGTAGCAGAGAACCTCTAACCACTCCCACCTGCGTGGTACTCTTCGATCAGGCGTTCAGCAGCTTTCGTCACTGCGGCGCGGCCCGCCGGAAAGCCCATGACATCGTACCACTGGCCATGACCTCCAGCAGCGGCTGCGAAGGGAAGCGTTTCAACTGGCCGGGGCTGCACAGCGAACGGGACCTCCAAAACAAGTCGGCGGGGAACTGAAGCAACCACCTCACCCTTCTGGATTGCCCGGCCAGCAAATACACCAAAACCATCGGACGACTCTCGCACGACGAGCAGCTCTGGGTCCAGCTCTGCTCCCTCGCTTACCAGGTGGTGCCGCAGGTCCTCAAATTCTCGAAGAGTCCGGTGGTCCGCCGAACAGCCATGTCTTCGCAGCAGAGGTCGCAATGTCTGCCATGGAACGCGGGCACTCAAAGCTCGCATTCTGCGTCCGTCTGCATACCCCGAGGGCACAAGCTGCCATGAGCCCCTGTATGTAGGTTCAACTCGAAGGTTGCATCAGGCATTCGTGTCGCCTATGCCGTGCTGCTGAGCCTGTGCCTGTATTGTTGCTGCCTGCTCTGGGAGTGCATGGTGTCAGGAACATCATGTCGTCTCCTCCGCAACTTGCTGCCTGCATATCATATTATATGCTCATGCAACGACAAAGGCAATGCAGCAAACCCGGTGTGTTTTCGTGCTCGGGTTCCCAATATGACAACTGCGTCCAGAATGCATCCACCTGCCTACACCTTCGGACAACACAAAGCCTTCGAAGGGAGCCCTTTCTGTTGGCATTGCTATTCACTGTTGTACCCTGTAAGTGCGTGCGTCTGTATGTCTGTATGCACGCATGTAAAGTGATGTCTTGTCATGTAGGGTAACGTTCAACGTCATGTAAAATGCAAACGCTGTAATTACAATGGAACCTTTTAAAATGCAACGTAAAGCCCACAGTATATGTACTGTACTTCAGTCTCATGTTCCGCAATGTGATGCAACGTCGTCTGGTGCTATGGTCTGCCATGTTACATGCTGCGATTCTGCACGAGCGTCTGAATGTATGTCAACCTATGTGTGCATGCATGTATGTCGTGTACGAACACACTCTATGTGGGCAGTTTTCTAAATTAGGGTCCCTTTTTAGGCCCCCAATATAGACCCTAACTTAAGGAACTAGCCATGTGCATCGCACTACAGTACCATGCCCGAATCGTGACCGAAGCATCTCAGCTCCGCGACTCGCTCGGGTCCAGGAGGCTTTCGCGCTGTTCGAGGCAGAGCCTCTCCAGCAAAGCCTGCAAAAACATCACAGGTTTTCTTTTAGGAGGTTGATCTGGTAAACCTGACTGCGGGAAGCACAGGGGGTTTCGGTTCCAATGGACGGCTGGCACTTGGATCCATTTGTTTGTCAGTCCCATTTTGGTATATTTTGGTTAGGCCTAGTCGAGGCAACCGACAGAAGAGCTTCGGTCGACAACGTGAAGAACTGCACGATTTTTTGTCTCTGGTAGGAGGGTCCCTGCTGCCTGTCTTCCGTTGGAACTACATTTCACAACTCTCCAGCGCAACTTCTTGAAAAGGTCGTGGCTTCAGAATCGGCAAGCAATCATTGTCGGCAGGAAGAGGCGAGATCTTTCGCAAGCTGAGAGGGAGTGTCAGCTGTGCTACCATTCACTTCGGTGCACTGTCATGAACTGTCAGAATATTAGCTGGATGAGCTGGCCGTGTGGCCGCGATTTCTCCAGGATGGCTCACCCAATGCCTTGCAGCACGCCTGGAAAGAGGACTGATTACCATCATGCTGACTTCTTTTGAGATGCTGCTTCGCGGCTGTGCCCGAAGGTATACGGTATAGGTGACAGCGTCACAAACTCCAGATCTCTGGCGAACAAGTCAGCATGCTCCACGCTGCAAGATTCTTGTAAATGGATTCTGGTTGGAATCCACATATATCCATACCATGTGTGCGCTTGCGTGGCCAGCAAGCTTTTCAGAACTGCAATATCATGCAGGATCAACCCGCATCGTCGGCCAAACGTGGCATTGCGAAGGCACTTTGCTTTCTCAGGCTGACCGGATGTCCTTCTTCTGCCTGGCCTTGGCATCTCCTGTAAGCTTCGGAATGACAGCTCACGTCTTGCTACCTCCATCTGCATCGCACCGTTCCTCCGTCTCGCCTACCTGACGGGAGCTACAACTTCAGACTTCAAGGGGGGAGAGGAAAGTTTCTGCACCAGAAGTTTGGAAAGCATTTCGACCATGAGCTAGCAGAGAATGGAACAACAATCGCAAAACCAACGTCAACAACAGCCCCAGACGACATCGATCACCAATCACGACCCTAGATTTACAGTGCAAACGACGCGTCAGTCTGCCCAGGCCTGTTCTGGGGCAGTTGCGTGCTCAGCGACCAGGCGTCGAAGCGACAGCTCCAGAGGCGAGCCTGCGAAAGGGGCAGAAGGCAGAGAACGTGCACAAGTAGCAGCTGTCCAAGTACGGTCCGGTATGCAGGAGCATCCACCAGGTCCGACATCGCCTCAGCCTTGCCTTTGCCCGTCGCACATCTGCGAACATCCACATCACGGCAGTAGTACCGTGATCATAGTCATCATCATTTGTAGCTAACATCGGCATCATCATGTGTCTGCAAAAGCACTCTCAGCTGATTTATCAACAAGCAGCATCATCACCTAGGGTTAGCTCTTATCATCACCACCATCTGTCAGGATTACCGTCAGCGTCCTCGCAACAGTACAGCAGCATCAGCTATAATTTCGTACCTAATCATCGTGAGCTCTTCAACCGGGAAAAGTCTTATCTTCGTTTGGCCCTTTGTTTTGTTCTTTTCCGTCACACACACGAAGTCAGTGCTCTAGCTTGCTCAAGCAGGCAACAGCATGAAATGGTGGAAAGCTGATATCAACCTGTGGTTACTATTGCTGCATGCTGCCAATGTTTTCGGAGTATGTCAGGGGCATGCCAATATGTTCAGTGGCGAACCACCCCAGGCATAACTCCGTCCGGAAATTTGCAAGACAGATTGCATGTCGTCTTGAATCCATCTGGCCCATGAAGCGAAAGAGCCTTGTAGACAGGGGCATGTGCCTGTAATGCGTAATTATAGATACACACATAAGTATAAAGAGAGATTTGTACATAGATATATACACACCTGCAATCAAACAAATAAATTGGAAAAATGTGAAAAAAACAAACAAACACACACGCACACATACATACAGACATAAATGCATACATACATGCATACATACATACTTATGCACATACATACACACAGACTTACTCACATACTTACAGACTTACACACATACATACATACTTACACACATACATACATACATACATACATACATACATACATACATACATACACACATACATACATACATACATACATACATACATACATAGATACATACATACACACGTACATACTAAAAGCGTATGCATATATGTGTGTGTGGGGGTGTGGGTGCATAATTATGTATATCGCAATATTGTATATATATATATAGACACATATATATATATATACACATGTATATGTGGACACTTGTGTTCATGGATTTCGTGTTTACATACATGTGTAAATATTTACATGCATGCAGGCATACATACATACATACATACATACATACATACACATATATGCATAAACATATACACATACATACATTCAGGCATACATACATACACATGTGTATATATATATATATATAATGTTGTATGTTTAGATACTAGCATGTTAACAAATATGCTAGTATAAAACTTATATATTCTAACCTCACATTATAGAATAATAAATCAGTGTACTAATATATGAAAAACTAATCATATATGTACATCGATACATAAAAACTAAATGTGCAAATTCAAGCATGCACTCACATGCACATATACACACACATGACAACCATACTAGTTATAGCATACATACGAATGGAGTTCTTACATTGTCGGCACTGACATGCGCGTGTGTGGTATTGGTTGTCTTCGGGACAAACTTGCCGATTTGGAAGCTGCATCTTCAAGTCCTTTGCTCGGAGCGTTTGGCCATGTTTCTGCAAAGGAGATATGCCAGACCTGGTTGAAGAACGCAAACGTTCCAGGAGGTACTTCGGCAATCGCTGCACTTCGCTTGCTGCAAGACATGTTGGGTCGTGTTGGAACGGGCTTGGACGTCAACCAACCTTAAGAACAACGCATTGCTTTTGAGGGGTAACTCATCTCGTGACCGCCAGCTTGATCCGAAAGTGTATAGGACTACTCCCATCGATTTCAGGATTTTTCTTTACAGAGACTGACTTGGCTAACCGTTGGCTTGCTGTCGAATGTAATCCATGCCCACAATATACGGAAAACTACCTTCCACAGTTTCAATGTACCGCTATTTTCGTGGCAATCCCCAGCCCCATCGTCCATCATGCTCGACACCACCATCACCACCATCCCCACCACCGCCACCGGCACTATCAACACTATAATCAAATGATGACCATCATCATGGTCATCATAATCTCCATCATCGCCGGGTTTCCGGCTCATGTTGCCACTTCTGTGTCCTTCGTGACAATCGGCCTGGAGAGACCTCCGACGCTGGTACGCTTATGGCCAGCCGCGGAACCGCCACCGGGTTGTCCTTCAGCAAGAAGCCGCCCCTCAGGAAGGTCCGGTCGGGACATGACACGGAGCGCGAAGGGGCAAGCACAATCAAAAGTGTGTAGTAGTCAGCATGGTCATAACACGACGTGGACTCACAATAATTCATTAGCCACGGGGACCGCATGCGAAACCTTGGCAGCCCTCCGGCCTGAACAATCGCTCGGAGTTGTCGACGGGTCGATAGGCCTGTCGATTCGATGATCCGGAACTTCGGCCGCAAGGCAGCAAGGCAGTATGTAATTCGTTGCTCGTGCACCTGCGTCAGTTCCTGCCCCGCGCTGACACGGCAGCCATCTCGCAGGAGGATCCCGTAGTACTCCGTGCGGCCGGGGGCATCAACTTCCAAACCTCGAGCTGGGGTCAACAGCTCTACCACATCATCTAATTACGATTGGACTGGCACGCCGGATCGATGCACCTTCCTTCGCATGACCCGCAATCGAAGGCTATCCTATTGCACCGAACTGCAACCCTCTGCTCCATCACAGCGAGCAATGCGAGCACAGCACTTCGCGTTTTACTTCGAAACCGACCGTGAACCAGACGCTAAACATCCGGGCCACTGTCATACACGTCCATGTTGGGTTCCGGTTCGGTGTTCATCATGTCAGCGAGCGGCATGAAGCAATACCTCGATGCAAGCAGGCCCCAGCCACGACACGCAACATGAACAACACTTTGAAGGCTAAAGTGATTTGAGCCTAACGAAGAGGCAGGGAAAATCACAAACTGCGACAATTTTAGGCAGAGTGCATTGGAGGAGGCAAGTACACGCGTGTCTTTACGACGGTGCAGGCCCAGAAGAAGTCGTCGAAGGTCAAGGCGGTGAGTCCGATCCTAAGCAGGGCATGGTATCTTTGAAGGCAGGGGGCTTCATGAACGCCTCTGAAGGAGCGGCCCGAGCGGCTCTTCGGCCTGTTGCTGCCACTTCTCAGCCTCTTGACGCCAGTTTTCCGCGAGGCTTTGATGCCAGGCGCGGGTTCTTGCGACCACCGGCAGCTCGTGGAAGGCATCCAGGAGCTCCTCGGATGCCTCAGCAAGGGGCACTCTTCTCTTCGAGACGTGCGTAGTAGCTGCTACGAGCTGAAAGCGAGAATGAAGGATGGCTGGAAGCCCTGACTGAAACGAAGCAAGCAAGAATTGAAAGAAGCAGAACTCGCACTCGACACATCGAGTATGCCGTTGCTTGAGACCCAGCACCAACCAAAATCAAGCTGTTCAGGCCATACCTGTGAGAGGAGCACGACGCCGAAGTTGCTGCCCGGCTGCATACGCTATGTGGTATTGCTGCAATTCTGCCTAGCGAGCGCGAGCATGCCAAGCAGGAGCGCGTCGTAATGCACAACTGAAATTCTACAAACAGAGCCCCAATTTCCTGGTGAAGTCTCTCTCCTAGCTTCTTTCACTCGAGAATACCGGCCTTGTCTGGCAAAATCCGGATCCAAGGAGTCCAAAAGCTCCCCAAACCGCTGAGCATCCTTCGCAAACCCAGTGTGGAGCCACTGCTGCGACTTGCCCAAGACTTGGCAAGTTCAAACAAAGCTCACATCTGGTCATCTGGTGTTCAATCGCCTCGCAGGCTCTCAATGCAGTCATCATCCCGTCACTGTCCTCTTCTTCTCCAAGGCCAGCTTTATCCCTAACTCCGACTCCGAAGAAGCCGTGAGCAGCAGGCATCTTGGCAAAATGATGGGAGAGGTGACCTTCACATTGCTGCCCGCATCACGATGCACTGCCGGGACTTTAGCTGCTACCGACGATGTTTCTTGCTTCTTACTCGCTGAAGTGTCCAAGTGATCTCGGTGCCTCTCGGGTAGCGACGAGCCCACGCACTGGGCCATCGTCCTTCGCTACGAAGGCAATCCTCCTGGCACAGCTCTTCGAGTGTGTAGGCCTAAGAGGGCTCGTGTCGTAGAAGTATCCCATGCTGCCTAGCATCACTTGATCCAAGCCCTGAGCACCGCCGGCTTCTGCCCAGGAAAGGAAGTCTCTCCAGAGCTCCTGGCAAGAAACCGCTTCTGTCATTTTTTCCCATGTCGGAGCTCCCAAACATTCAGTGCTTGTAGAAGGCAACACTGCTGATCTCTGCTCGCCCTCGGTCCTCCACTCCGGCGTCGGGGCGCATCTCAGGCCATGTGAGCGGCCGCGGTGTCGGCTAAGGAGAAGTGTGCAAAGTTTCAATGTGCTCGGATCCGGAAAACTTTTTTTGCTACTGTAGTGCGAACTAAACTCATGTCTGACTGCTGTGCTGAGTCGACGGCTAGTACTGGCAACCGACACCAGCACCAGAAACCCGTCTGGGCAGCTGTCTCCGGTCCAGGCTTTCAGGTGTCACAAGTATCAGAACTCGGACGGTCCTCTTGAGACCTTCCCCTCCAAGCTCGTGCGCTCTGGGCACGTCTCTATGTCTCATGACTCTCTACTCAATCTCTCTTTCTTTCGCCAGGGCTAGGGGTAAGGGAGAACTAGTCCCCCGCACCAATCTCAATCTCTCTCTCTCTCTCCCAGGGCAGAGACGGCAGGCGGTCCCCTACCCCCTCGCGCGAGGACGCGCACCTGCGGGACGTGGCAGGGCTTTACCAACTCCGACGAGGGGTTTCCCCCCATCGGCTCGATGGAAATGTAGGCTCATGCCCTCATACTCAATAAAACAGCGAAAAACCTCCAAAAGTGTTTTTTTCTTTTTTCTTTCTGCTGGGCTTAGGGGTCGATCGCTCGACCCTCAGGCCATCGGCCCGCCCAACCACCTCTCCCAAAAGTGACTTGCTTGCCTGCTTGCTTGCTCTAGATCTAGGACAGGAGCGCGCCCCCGTCCCCCCCGGATCTGAACGTCCTGCGTCCTGCGCACACCAAAAGTGACACTCTCTCTCTCTCTCTATCTCGCTCTCTCTCGGTCAGTTTCTTGCTTGCTGGTTTCAGATTCAACATCCATTTCTCTCTCTCTCTCTCTCTGTCTCTCTCTTTCTTGCTTGCTTCCCCGGTGTGCGTGTGTACAAGTGTGTATGTGTGACTGGATGTAAGTGTATGCATATGTATATGTATGTGTATATGTATATGTACGTATAAGTACCTGCAAAGGCATATGTATGGAGGTATGCATGTATGGATGTATGTATGTATTCCGTCTGTCTGTCTGTTTGTCTGCCGGCCTGCCTGCCTGCCTGCCTGCCTGCCTGCCTGCCTCGCTGTCTCTCTGTCTGGTCGCTGAATCTCCAGGCCTTGTTGGCGCGGGCCAACTCCAAGCACCGCGAAACACGGCCTTCCGCATCCGTGGCGTCCAGAGCCTTGCGCAAGCCTGCAAACGTTTGTGAGCAACAGTGGCTCTGCTCGACCAGACAAAAGGGATGCTACAGTACCTCCAGAGGCCATCAGCGAACGCCGGAGGCAGTCAGCTTTGGCCTGGGTCAAATTGTAAACAGGGCAACGGCGAAGTCCACTGAAATCTTTTTCAGTTCCTGATCTATGACAAACCTTCTCCAGTAGGGCTCGGTATATAAGTCTTTGCCGTGGTAAGAGGTTTCGGATCCCAGTCGTTGGCGCATGTCACGTGGACCCGCTGGACAAGCTGTTGCACATGCGATCCGACGATTGGTAACAGGTACTGACAGTTCCTGTCTCAACAGCATGCATTCCGGCTGCTTCTCGCCAGCAGTGGCCTCCACGGCAGGCTTGGGCAAGTCTTCACTCCTGACCAAGGACCAAGCACAGTTCCATCACCTGTCCCTTCTCACAGACAGTACAGATCGCTGATCACAACCCCGACTTAGGGGCTGAGTACCCTAGCCCCAAAAAAAAGTTAATCTATTGAGTTATAGTAGGATTATAAGAGCCCCAAAAGGAGAAAGTCGGATAAAGGCTACCTACAAGGCTTCCAAAACTCGCTGGTGAGCCTCTGCCGGGTGAGCTCGATCCTGGCGGCCTCAAGCTCCTGCCGGCTGCGGTTACCGACAGCAATTCGGAGCCTCTGCTGGGACTGGCCAGAGCGAAGGCAATGCATGAAAAATGCATGGCATGAGTTCCTCTTTTGGGGGCTCGAGTCTCGAGGGTGGTAGACAGATGTGCATGTTCCGGTGCAGTCGTGTCTCCTCTTTGCATCGTCGAAGCTCGGCTTGTGCAGCCTCCTTGGCGGCAACTGCCTGTCCAGATGGCGAGTACAAGAACTGCCCCTTCGCAAGGCGACTCTCGGAACGCAGCTGCTACATGCGGCGTCGATGATGCCTCTCGAACCTCCTCTTCACGGTGGTGAGCGCGCTCTCGCAGCTCCTGCCGTGATACCGAATCACCAACGACTTGGACGAAGAAGGCTTCGGGTTGCGCTGCTGGCCCTTCCCCACATCACAGAGCTTGTCCTGAATTCGAGTGGCGTGATCCTGGCAAGGCACGCATTTGCACATGTCCCTCCTGCGCCCACAGAGCTTAAGGCTGTCGGGACTGAATGTGATCAGGCCTCCTCCAGCTGATGGATCTCTGAGGGGCCATATTCGGCCCACGGATCTTTCCTTAGAACGGATTGAAGTCCTTGACCCCAAGTGCTTCACTGACTACCTACATGTACCCGCTCAGGTCAGGAACTTCACTTGCGGAGCATGCTTTGTGTACCAAAAAACTGGTCCTGAACGAGTAATGAGCAATTTCAAACACTGCTGCACAGGCATGGGGCATGGGGGCTGCGGAAGCACCCGCCCCAAGCTTACCCTGGCGGACCTTGCGGCCTTCTCTAGCACAGCCAACAATCCTCGCAAAGCTTCGCTGGATCCAGCATGAAGCCGTCGGGATCAGCTAGCCAAGTTTGGCGCACCTCCCGGACAGGAGTTCTAAAGGCGGCTTACACAATCTGTCAAGCTTCTGCCCCCGGCAAAGCAACTTGAAAGTCATGTCAGGCAGCCGTGTTGTCATGCAACCGGAGGGATAGTCAAGGACAGCAGTTGTTTTTCGCGTCATCGCCTGGCTGTGGCTTGAATTGGAATCTGGGAAACTGATCGAACACAGCTTTTGGTGAGAATTGGCTGGCTCCAGGTTGGGATAGTCGTGTCTTCTGCCTGTACAGACAAGAATGCGTTCCAGTTGTCGCACACTTCCTGGAGCCATTTCGACTACCACTGCAGGCCACCACAGCTCCAAACGTTGCAGGAGGTGGTGGGTCAACTGATGCACCACTTGAGCCCGGCTGTCACGTGCCCACATGGAGTGCTCCTAGCTAGGATACTGAACCGTGAATTTTCGGGTTGTAGTCCTGGCACGCGCATCATGAAGCGACCAGGTTATATGATGCAACATGCAGATACACCAGCTGTACAGATCGAGGGGGATGTCCTTGAACGTCGCAATGATGGACATGTTTGTTCCCACACATGCATCTGTAAATCACGCTCATTCTATCTTCTTCGTAGACTGTACTGATAAGGAGAGAGCCGGGCAGTTAGGCCGTAGCAGGTGCACCGCCATAGGTTGCCAAGCTGCTATGCAGGCTTCAGCGACCATCCGCCGGGTTCTGAATGCCGGGAGAGACGTGCGCATCATGCTTTTATTGAATCTGCTGGGCACTTTCTACCTATCTCGAATCAGACGCACCGTATCGGCATGGATATACTGCCACTGCTGCAACTGCTGCTGCTGCTGCTCCTCCTCCTCCTCCTGCTGCTGCTGCTCCTACTTTCTACCTGCCTGCCTGCCTGCCGTCCTACCTATCTACCTACCTAGACTACTACTTCTACAGCTACGGCTACTGCTACTACTGCTACTACTGGTACTACTACTACTATTACTACTACTACTACTACTACTACTACTGCTACTACTACTTCTACTACTACTGCTGCTGCTGCTACTACTGCTACAACAACAACTACTACTACTACTACTACTACTACTCCTACTACTACTACTACTACTACTACTACCACCACTACTGTCACACTACTGCTTCTACTTCTACTTGTATTTCTATGTCTACTCCTACTACTGCTCCTACGAGTTAGTAATACGTACAAATAGTTTTAACCCTTCTATACCATTACCTGTAATACCAGTGCCACCACCACCACCACCACCACGACTACTATTACTACTACTACTACTACTACTACTACTACTATTACTACTACTACTACTACTACTACTACTACTACTATCACTACTCCCAGATAATGCCTTATCGGGGGGGCTGTAGGGGGGCTAGGTTAAGGCAATCACGGGCATTTAATGCCTTACCGACCCTGCACAAAATCAGGGGGTCTGGGGGTATGTTGCTGGGCTTGGAAACATTACTTGAGAGTGGCGAGAGAAGCACACAGCTTGCTGTCTTGTATGGCGTCCTCGCGCTCATCCTGCAGGCATTTTGCCTTGGAAACCACTAGGGTCATGGGGCTTTGCAGACCTACAGTCAGACTTACCATCTCATGAATCCAGAGCCCAAAGGAACAAGCTTGCTAATCTGCTAGGGATCTGCAGCACATTCATGCACATTCTATATTTGAAGCCTGAAGCCACGATTTTACGGCATAGGGGACGGGTAGATCAGATAAGCCAACATGTCGGCACTGGGTTGTAGGATTACTAGTTTATACAATAGGAAGCCATTATGACGGCATAGGGGGAAGGGTTAGCTAAGCCAGTATGTCGGCACGGGTTTTAGTACTAGATCTACTTGCTTAAATAAGCCATTATGACGGCATGGGGGAAGGGTTAGCTAAGCCAATATGTCGGCACGGGTTATAGTACTAGAACTACCAGCGGCAGCAGCAGCAGCAGCAGAAGCAGCAGCAGACCTAGTGAACATGCCATGGAACTGCTGGTTCCGGTCCTTTGGAGGGACGAGGAAAACATGCCCGGGCCTGATTTGTTCGTGGACTTGCTATTATTTTTTTGTGTCTCGGGATTTCCTGTACCTGCCGAGTTACTTTCCAGTACACCTCGAGTGATGCGGAGTCGGAAGTGTTTCGGAGCAAGAAGCAGGCGGGCGACGGAAGTAGTTATCGTGGTCGGGTGTAGTGTCGGGTGTC